GGTCTGTCGCTAAGCTTTGTAGATGCCCTCCAACCAGTCCAAGAACGAAGGAAACGATGATCAAGTTTTCTGGGCCTTCTCCATGATCGCCGCCGCCGAATACAAACTCAAAGATCCTCCCTCAGACCAGCCCGGTTGGCTCGCCATGACGCAGTCCGTCTTCAACCAATTCGTCGGCCGCTACCAGAAGGAGGTGTCTGATGGCACTTGCGGTGGTGGCATGCGCTGGCAGATCTATCCGTGGCTTAATGGGTGGACGTATAAAAACACCGCATCCAACGGAGGACTTTTCCATCTCGGCGCGCGATTGGCCATGTACACAAAGAACGACACATATGCCAAGTGGGCGGAGAAGGCATTCGACTGGATGGCGAATAGTCCTATTCTGCCTGGCGACGGCCAAGTCTACGACGGAACCAGTATCAGCACGAACCCTCCTTGCAGCGACGCCGATCAAACGCCCTGGACCTACAACTACGGAATCATGATTGCGGGAGCAGCATACGTAAGACGAATGTTACTACACCACAGATTCAATTACTAACCCTGTTCGCAGATGTACAACTACACCAATGGCGCTGACAAGTGGCGCAACGAACTCACCAAATTCATCAACAAAGTCGCCATCTTCTTCCCAGAAGACAAAGGCGGCGTCATGGTCGAGATCTGTGAAGCAAACATTGTTTGCGACGCGGACCAAGAATCCTTCAAAGCGTACCTCGCCCGCTGGCTCGGCATCACCATGCAAATGGCCCCCGAATTCACGCCCCAGATCATGCCCAAGCTGCAAAAGTCCGCCGTTGCCGCTGCGCAAACATGCGAGGGTCCGTCTGACCACGGCGGTGGCAACCACCAGTGCGGTATGAGTTGGTGGAAGCAAGGTTGGGACAACATCAAGGGTGTGGGACCGCAGATGACGGCGCTCAACGTTATCAGTGTGTTGAATGCGCAGAGGGTGCCTCCGCCATACTCACGCGATACCGGTGGTACTTCCGAGGGTAACCCTGGGCTAGGCTCTGGAAACGACGCCGACCGATTACCCAAGTTCCAATCCGAAATTACCACTGGGGATAAAGCGGGCGCGGCGATCCTCACTATCCTCATATTCGCTTTGTTCGTTGGTGGGTCGGTCTGGATATTGATGTAATGAGTGAGATGGTCAAGAAGGCATGGAAGATGATGGTGGTGGTGCTTTTTGGTTAATACCCCCCATTGATTAGATGCATGCTGGAATGCAAGTATGATGGGATGACAACTGAGCTTCTTCACATGATGAAGGCTTTTTCATGGCGTTTTTTTTAATCCAGGGCGAATGGATCGGATCGGATGGGCTGGGATGGATTGCGAGATTCGTGTGTATATTTGCTATCTTGATGAAATGAAATATGAATGAGTACATTTATCGTTTACGAAGATTGCTTTGTGACAGGCGGTTTGGATCTCGCATATGTTGAGTATGTGAGATGAGGCTGCTGAGAACATCGCATGACTACTAGTTGTTTGTTGCGCACATAATGTATATAGTCTTGGAACCATATGAATCAACTAGCGACAGAGCACACAGATCGACACCTATTCGATGCCTCTACACGCGGAGAGTCCTGATGGCGAAGAGACCGCCGGCCAGCGAAAGGACCATTTTGAAGGTAAGATAGCGATCCAGCAGCTACAGCCCCCGTACAACTAACTCGACCCGTAAACCTAGCCATGCGAAACCGCGTTCCACGCTACCTATTCCGCGCCTTCGACGAATCCAGCGGCGGCGGCCGCGAATTCTCCATCATCAACGCAACCGAGATCATACCCCGAGGCTACATGAACGGCCGGCAAGTCACCGGGTTTTACGAAAAACAGGAGAAAGAACTGCATGCCATGGTGCAAGCCCACTTCTCCGCCGACGAAGACGTCCTAACTGAGTTTAGCTCGTGGGCTGCTTCTCTCCACACAGTTCTTTGCTATGCGCATACTTGTTCTCTGGAGTATGGAGATGTCCATGTTGCTGTGATTGATCGCGAGAAGCTGGATGGTGAGGTGAGAATTTGGTGGGTCCCGCATCTTTTGGATCCGGGTGAGTATCATGGCGAGCATGAATATTTGGCGCATGGATGTATTCGGGGAAAGGGATATATGGCGGTGCCTTTTAAGGACCTGACGGTTAATGAGCTTTGCACTGCTATCTTCCCTGAACCCACGGGTTGGGAGGATGGGGATCTCAGCTTCGGCGACGGACTGAGAGACAAGATGTTTGGGGAAAAGTTGGTCGGATACTATGACTATCAGACTGAACGTATCAAGCAAATAGGCAAGTTGTTTGGAGACCTTGCTTTGCCAGTTATGCTCGCGTTGTTGACTCTGAGGCCGCGATACCTTGCTCGAGCTTCCGTACTGGTCAATAATGCGGAAACGGCGCATTCGGATTTCATGGACTGGCTGTTTACTTCGCTGGACATCCAACCCCTTGAATTCGTTCCCGAAGAGGAAGATTGGTGTCGGCCAGGGGGAGTTTACACACGCCATGAAGGCGACTGGAAGGCTTATCCGGATGTTGAACAGTGTATCAAATTGCTGAGTATGATTGGCGAGCGGCAGTCTCAACGAAGCGCAGAAGAGGAGAAAGGGGGCGGAAGTGATATCAAGGGGGAGAGCGGTGTTGGCGACGGAAGCATGCAAGATCAGTTGACAGAGTCTGAGTTGCAGGATCTGGACGAGGAAGATTCGGATGAAGAGATGTTAAGCGAGAAAGAGATGGACGATGAATCGATTGAAGATGATTAAAGGAAGAAGCGCAGACAAATCGAAGATGAAAGCCGGCTTTAAATCGCGTGTGTCGAAGCGATCAAAGTCATCTCCTCTAGCTCTCTGGCTAGAAATGTTGGTCAAGCACATACACCTCATGGTGGGATAAATGCTTCTCGGATTACATGAGTGTAATTGCGACTATTGACTGTTAAGTGCGCGAATGTGTCCCCTTGGTACATATGTTGTGGAGGAGCAGTTGATGCTGGGAGGCACTGGGCGTCACTTCCAACAGGGAGACGCGCTACTCCGGCTTCGGCTACCTCAGGGGAGCGCCGCTGCCCAGGTGCTTCCCCCAAACACCGCCACCTTCCAGGCTGCCATCGTCACTCACATTCACTCGCCACGATCCAAGTGCTGCAAGCAACCGTCAATGATCAAATCGCGCATCATGTGTTAATGCAAAGAACGCCTTACCAGCCAACTCTCTGTTTGTGGCTGAGCAAAGATGTAACATTCTGCGATAGGCGGGAGCGCGCAGCCCAGCCGCAGTCCGCCCCAACATTCACCACCTTCGAAGACGTCGTTTCCTACCCATCCGCTTGGTGGATGCCGAGGCTCTGCAATGCGCCGTGTGGATACGCAACACGAGGCCGGTCAAAGCTATCGTGAGATAGTGATTCTTCATAAGAAACGGGCGCCGCGAAGCTGTGGCTTCCATTTTCACTTTCAACTTCGTAGACGCTGATCAGCTGTTTGTAGCACACGGCATACAGCATGCGACAATTCTCTGATAACTCACATTTAGGCAGCCATGATCAGAAGGCAAGTAGGCAGAAAGATCGGGATAAAGCGAGGGGTCTTTCAGCTCGACTTGACCCTCGGCAGAGTATACCGCATTGTTTATGGGAGTATTGTGACCTCACCGCAAGACTCAACGCTTTCTTTGGAGGGTTGCAATAGGTTGATCCTTCGAATCACATCAACTTTGCTACCTTCCAGTCGGTAGTTCCACGAGCGAGCGTGCCTGACCTTGGCAGGCACAGCCCCACCTGCTCCCATCGCATTGATTCTTCTAACGTCTAGACTTGGGTGACAGGGCTGCCGAACACTACCAGGATGCAGCAGACCTCTCATATGTGAGTTAAGTCACAGCCTCAGCCCCAAAAATACCGCTACGCCGCAACGACCCCACACCGCCATATTGGAGATTTCGTCACCTGGTAATCCATCGCATGCCGCCTATCTGTCGTTGGACATGCCCGTCTTCACCCTCACTGTCAAGTGCCAATGACGTACTTGCGATACCATATCGCGAAGAACTATTCGTGGGAAGACGACCCTTGGGCCCAGCTTACCAATTACTAGCCTACCGCGAGCGTTCAAGCAAGGGTACTTGATCCTTCTACGCAATCGCTCTTCCGTCGGCCGTCCCCGATACCGATACTGAGGAGTGATGCGGCCCGAGGCTTAGCATAGGGGGCCAATTGCTCCCGTCTATCCGATATGCGCTACGACCTTACGAAAAGCAACTATCCGTCGCAGGCCCTGGGAGTCCGTATGTGGATGTTGTTAACATACCAATGATTTCCTCTACCACACACACAACCCATCTCTAGTGCTTTGCATGCACAGATCAGGGGTTTTCTATGGGCGCCACCACTTGAACGCGTGGCGCTGTGGGCGGAACCTCTGTTCCTGCAGCTATGAAATATGACTCTTACTTGGGTATTTAACTCTCGGCGCATCATCCTTTCTTTGAGTTCATCCACCGTCTTCGACTTTTCGAGATGACACCCAAGAAACAACCACCCCGCTTTCCCCAGAAACGAGCAAGATCCGAGGCTCGGCATGAGGATGTTGATCGTTCGCGAAAGGTAACTCGCCGCTCGACAGCTTCCGCCCAGGTCAATACCATCCCTCGATCTCCACCTCATACCCCACCACCCGTTGGACGAGAAGAGGTCTCTATCCGACACTCTATACCGCTATCAATATGCAGCGCTCCAATCGATCCAGAATCTCCACTCAGGAAGACGCCAAGCACTCCTCAGTCCCTTGTGAAACGCGTATCCCATGTCGACGACCCTACGATTGAACGCGAGATCACCCGTCCGATCCCGCCTATCGTCCTTTCCAAACACGCATGGGCGCCACGCCATGCTGTTAAAATCAACAGGCACAGCTTCAACACAACCACCAACAGTCCATCTGCCTCATCAAAAGGTACCAGATGGGTGGAAGTCTTGGGTCAAGTGAGCAGGATGTACCATTACAAACGAATCCCTGACGATCAAGTTCGTCTTCTACTCGTCAAGCCAGGCACCTTCGACGAGCAAATCAACGCGTCATTGCTGGTCGTTAGCGATGATCACCTCGGAAGCGAAGATTACCCGTACTCGGCCCTATCCTACAACTGGGGCAATAGCGCAGACGACAGTACTATTGTCATCCAGGATGATCCAGCCTCGTCTCCCGTGAAGTCCATCAGGAAAGCAGTGGATGTACTCCGAGCGGCCGTGCAAGACAAGTTGATCAAGGTCAAACCAAACCTCTACGAAGCTCTCAGACATCTGCGAAAAGAGAACGAGACTATCGCGCTTTGGGTGGACGCATTGTGCATCAATCAATCTGACACCAAAGAAAAGGAAGAGCAAGTACTAAAGATGGCGCACATCTACCGTAAAGCCTACAATGTGAATGTATGGCTTGGCTCCGACAATCCTGATGATCTTGTCTCCAACAGGGCTATGGCTTTTATCCCCAAGGTCATCGATCCGGAGAATCACTTAGCTCTTCTCACTGGCGATGCTTATATTGAAGATTGGGCAAGCTTGTACGAGCTTCTCAAGTGGAGCTGGTAAGTGCATTATCGTTCGACATGGCTTTTCTCCGCTCATCTCCCATAGGTTCTCAAGGCGCTGGGTCATACAAGAGCTGGCATTTGCACAATCCGCTTCAGTTCACTGTGGCAAGCATGTGCAGGACTGGAGCGACTTCCAAACTGCCATCGCTATCTTCCACCGACACTTCGATGGTCTGAAAGCCCGGCTTATGGTGTATTACGAGTCCTCTCTGGCTAAGCGCAGTCACTTGAACGATGACTCAACCCTAGAGATTGAGCACCTCGGTGCCAAGCTGTTGGTGGATATGACATCCACATTGTTTCGCAAGCGACCCGACGGCACCCTGGAATCTACCAAAGGATTGGAGAGCTTGGTATGCTCCTTGTCCGGCTTCGATACTTCCGATCCACGCGATACAATCAATGCCTTTCGAAGTATATCCAAAGAGGTGACTAGATATAACCCGCGTGCCGCAGGACAGCATAGGCCACCGCCTGTTCCAAACTACAGTAACGATCTCTTTGAGATATATCGCGACTTTGTTAAATGGGTTGTCGAGACCTCGGGGTCCATCGACATAATCTGTCGCCACTGGGCATTAAAAGAACGCCATGAACTAACTCCAACAACCCCTCGACTGGTTCAACTACCTTCCTGGATCCTTTTCGTGGAAGACTCTGCCTGGGGAAAGGGCGAAGATCTGTTTCGCGGTCGAAAGGCTGGCGACAGCTTTGTCGGGTTACCTGGTAGTAACAACTACAACGCTTGCGGTAGGCAAGGCAAGCAAGCCCGTGTCAAGTTCCCCCGGAGTCCTGTCCATCGTGCCTCGGCCCCACCTTCCCAAGTCATACACGATATGTCGATGTCCGTGAGAGGTGTCATGATAGGAACAGTCTCTTTCCGCACAGACCCGTTTCCCGATGGTGTTATCACCAAAGATTGTTTGGAAGGACTGGGATGGGTCTTCGACAAGGACGCCATAGAAATCACCGAGGTTCCAGCCAAGCTATGGCAAACTCTGGTGGCAGACCGCGATCCGCAGGGCAACCCACCTCCTCATTGGTACAAGAAAGCATGTCAACATTGCCTTACCTATCAGACGAATAATGGACACATCAACATCAACACCGTTCTACGACGGAACCTTCGAGGCGGCCCCAATGACATCGTGTATGACTACCTTTGTCGCGTCCGTGCTGTCACCTGGAACCGATCCTTCCTCAGAGGCAACCCCATTTGTAGTGCCACCACCAATACTTGCGACTTCGAGCATGACGAACTCGTTGGCTTTGGGCCACCTAGGACTGAAAAGGGAGATGTGATTGCTATTCTGTATGGCTGCAGCGTCCCCGTCATCCTCCGACCAACTCAAAATGGCTCTGGTGAACATCTTGGGTACCTATTCGTCGGCGAAGCTTACATCTACGGTAAAATGGACGACGAAGCTTTTGGTGTCCACTGCGAAGAAAAGAACTTCAAGCTGCTCTGATGCGAGTGGCAGTCATGAGAATACGTCCCCTCTCGACCTCACTTCCCCTTCTTTCGATAAGCACTCGAGCCCGGCGCCGGCTGCTGGATTCATCCGCCTTCCTTTTTTTCTCGCTGATTTTCACTTCGTACCTGCGCTTGGCCAGTACCCCCTCTTCTTTTTTCCACGATACCCTCACGCTACGACGTCACGACATTATATACCCCGCCCGAGTTTGACCGCTCGGCCCTCTTCTTTCTCCCGATACCGTGGCCTTTGCTATGACATCATGTACACCACCGGTACGATTCGCTACGTTTCCTAGGGGGATAAAATAGAGTATCTTTCGGATTTCCTTTCTTGTATAGACCATAATATACTACCATTGTACCATTGTCCGCTCTCGATGTCAAACAGATCCCGGGTCTCTTTACTCGTAATCAGACAATTAGCTTTTGTGGAGCTTCCTAGCTACCGACTGTCCCAGTCTTGAGTCCATGTCTAATTCGAGCGCGGTGTATACCGGCGCATCTACCCTTGTTCGTCCCCGCGACGCTCACTCAGTAGTAGTCGATCATCTCGGTCGGCCGGCCCAGGATAAAGCACTTCATGCTCTTGATATCCCGCTTCGTCCAACCTGAAAGTGTCGATTTACCGCCTTCGCCCCAGCGTACGGCCATGTCGGTATCGCCGAAGAGAGCCTCGCAGCGCGGAGTTCTACAGTTACCCTTGTGAGCATGCGCTAAGTTCAGAGAGAAGGGAGAAGGGAGAAGGAGAGAATGAATGAACATACCGATACAATTGACAGCAGCCCATGTGGGTCACGGCGCGAACTGAGCTTATCTCTCTGGAGCTGAGGCGCATGTGTTAGCACAAGCTTCATATCTCAAGATAACATAATCTATACGCACTAATCACTGCTGATGTCGCGACACTCGTCCACCATGACGTCGAAGTAACGGCAGGCTCCTTTGAAGTTGGCCACGTTACAGACTTGGATCTAGAGGAAAACCTGTCAGTACCTGGCCCTTGTAGTTCGGACGGAAGCGACGTACAGTCATATGCTTCCACAAATTGTCGGACGCTTCGGCTGGCAAGGCAGCGATGTCTTGGATGCAAAAGATCAGTAGTATGAGCATGCTGAGCATCATGGCAGTAGCGGGAATGCGCATGGCGGGTGGCGTCTCCGATGCTGTGTTTGAGGAAGTCTACACTGAGTGACGTGGATGAGGGTCAAAGGGAAATTGGTAGGGGCGGAAGGCAGCAAGAGCGCGGTGTCTGAACAGCGATGTTGTGCTTTCCGTTCGACGTGACTTCCGCTTCGCCCATGCCGACTTCCCTAGACGACCCTCCGCAGTTTCCCTAAACGGCCCTCCGCACTTTCCCCGCAAGCAATGCGCAGCGCTGATAGGCGGTATGCGTCAAAGCGTCAAAGCGTGACGTACTCCCGATGTATGATCTCTACAGCGAGCCACTCCGAACGCTGTATAGTGCCAGATTCAAGACGAAACTATTTCCCTAACTCCGTCATCAGAAATATCGTCTCTTTCCTCATCGGCTTTATGACACCGTTGATACTTATGGTCTTTTCGGAGAACTCGATATCCAGCCAGTGAGTCTCGAACTTCGAAATGTTTGTCTTGATAACGAGGACGTTGCGAACGCCCCGTTCTCGATGAAAAGACGCACGTTTCCGTGCGTCATCTAAAGATCAATATCGAATTGCAGACTTAGGTCGCACGTAAGCAGACACGTGCCTTTGCTGTCGAAGCATGAAATGAAGGGACTGTGTGCGACGGATCTGTCTTTCTAGTTGAGATGCTTGCTAAGTTTTCCAGAATTAAACCAACGACAGTAGTCCATGAAGTAACGACCATTTGCTCTGAAGCCGTCTTCGAGATGAAGATAAGTAAACAACCCATCGTGGTGGACCCGGTAGAGTTTCCGAGGCTGTCGCTGTACAGGATACATTTCCTGCATATGGTTGGGAAGACCATGGAACCTGTCCTCCATTCTCTCTGTCTTCCAGAAGTTGTTGCTCAAGTAGGCGATGGTCGTGCTCTTGGATGTGCGGGGTGCGCTGTCTGTCATGCTCATTCGGCCCGTCCATCTCAGAGCATCTCGAGTGCACTAGTAAGCAGACACTAGACCGCTTGCGGACAGCTTAGCGTAGGCAACCATCCTTTGTAGCAAGAACGCCATCGCGAGGTACCCCCAATGACGACTCACTTTCGACGACGCCACTTCGTTCCAAATTACCATCCGGCTGTTATTCGCTCAACATGCAGGTGCGCACTTCCAGGACCCGAACCAGTATCGTACCCAAGGGCCCGTGGACCACACCCTTGAACTGGGACCTATGCGCGACCCGTCACGGCGAGATACGTGTACCTTTTCGACATCATGTTCGTCAGGGAGAGGAAACGATGCATTCCTCACTTAAAACTTTCGAACACTTCTCACGTCTGCCGTTGGAGCTTCAGCACCATATGCTGTCGTTTTGCGACAACGCAACGCTCTTCCAGCTCATGCGTGCGTCACCTGTAACACAGAAAGAAGCAGCAAAGCTTTTCTGGTCTGATCCCACGGTACAGTATCGCATACAGGGCTCTTGGGTACTTTCTGGCGGATATTCGGGCCTCACACATGCCGCTCTCGAAGCTCACAAGTACATGCAGTACATCATCGTTGAGCTGTTGAACTCGAAAACGACCCTTCATAGTGACTGGGTGGATCTCACACCGCATTACATCAAGTTACTAGATGAGGAAGAAGCGAGGCTCTACGCGGAACACCAGATAGCTGCGTTCTGGAGGACACTGCGCGTATGGTTTCCCTCTCTTATAAGCGTCGAGTTTAGCACAAACCTTATTCTCGAACCCGAAGAAGAGCCTCTGGAGGCGCAGACTCAGCTGGCAGAAGGATGCCCGAATGGGGTCCACGTACACGCATCGAATTTCCATCTTAATCCCATTAATCCCAATCGTCCCAGGTCGAGAAAGCTTTGGCGAGCGATCAAATCTACCGATGAACGAGTATCTTGGGAGCTGACCGAGCCCTTACAATCAATCCAAGTTGTAATCCCACCAATTCAGGAACGATCTGGACCTGTGGGTAAATGGTGGCGTTGGCTTCACGACAAGATGGAACCCTGCACATATATGGTTAACGCCCGGAAGCTACTCTTGATCCAGGCTACCGAAGCATACTATCAACATACTCTCAAATCACCATGTGTATGCCCAATCGCCAATTGTGGTCTTCAATTCGAAGAACCAGGTCAATGGACATTGCACTACGTATCAACCGACGGACAACTACATGGAAGTGCTGAACTACGTCCACCTCCATGCAAGATGCTTCGGGAAGCGTTTGCAGAGCATGACACGCGTCTAGAGCGCATGCGGAAGAGACACAAAGAGCGGCTGGCCGAGATGCGCGCCGAGTGGGGTGACGAGGGAAGTGAACAGCGCATGCACGTCACAGAGCAGTTCCTACAGCAGTTGCGCGACGATCCATTGTGCTCAGTTAGAAAGGAACCAGAGAAGAGTCGTTTTTGGACGCAATATAAGAGCATGATGAACTCCAAAGACCGTTCCATGGTACTGCGATGACGCAGAGCGAAACGAGCCACACACAACTTCCGCAACATCGACGACCTAGACGAAGAGATATTTCCAAAAATGAGAGAAAATGCACATATAATATACTGTCCAAAGACCGTTGAAACTTGAGTTGATAACCAAACTACAACCTTTTGTATCTACGGAACAATCGCGCGGGCAAACAAGACGAAAATAACACAATTTTCCAGCTTCTTCTTCACCTCCTGGGGTCCTCCAGGACGAAACCTACGGGAGAGATATTGGCAGTATGATCAGAGGAATTGTTACATCGCGGACGCTTTCCCGAAACGAAGATGCAGGAGCGCAGTCACATGATTGGCTCTTCATGATACATCCCTCCTTCGACCGCGGTCTGCCTCATTCTACTGTTGGGTGGCCAGATCGCTGCTACAGCCTTCCTCTTCGTCTCGTCGAGACTTCCATACCCACACCTAGTCACTCCCCCTTCCCAACCACCAAATTCCTCCTCAGCGCCTCCAACTCCCCATCCCCAAGCCCACAGTACTCCCTCATATACCGTTCCGCGCCCCCAAACCGCTCATCTAGCATCTCCAAACTCGCCAGCATACTCTCCTTCCTCGACCCCACCATGCGCAACGCAGCTTGCCTGCCCTTCTCCAGAATCTCAGGCGGAAAGTCCGACGTATCAGAACCCTCGCTATCCCGTCCTTGGATGAGCTGTGCCATCTCTTCTTTCGATAAAGGTCTTCCGATTGATTGCGCAAGCATGTACTTCCTAAACCCGGGACTCGTCAACAAGCGCTCCACAATCTCGTCCCGCGCTGGGCGGAGGCCGAGTTCGGTGAGTTGGTATTCCTCGGCGATCTGCTCGCGCGGTACGCCGAGGAAATCGAAGAGGAGGCCGAAGAAGATTCCTGTTCGGTCTTTGCCGGCTGTGCAGTGGATTAGTGCGCCGAGTTTCTGTCCTTCTTTCCCCTCGCCATCACTACTCAGGCTGGCCAGATACCGGAAGATAGTACCATATGCCTTCCCTCCATCCCCCAAAATACTAGCGTAAGCCTCGACAAACCCCTTAACATCCTCATCCATGTAATTCGCATACCGCTCCGCCAACCTCTCAGGACTATAGTCTTCATCTGAGAACACGGGTGTCCACGTGCGTTTCACACCTGCTTCCTCCATGGCTTGGATCCAGCCTGGTCTGAAATCTTGCTTGCCGGATGCATCATCTCCAACAATACCAGCCCAGCCCTTTTCTACTTCGGGTAAGCTGCGGAGGTCGAAGACGTGGGCTACGCCGATGTCGCGGACGGCGGTCCAGCCGGCGGTGTCGAGCTTCGCCACTTCGGCGCTGCGGAAGAGGATACCGGGGCGCAGGGTGGCGCCGGAGGTGGTGGTGAGGGAGTGGGTGGCTAGGCGTAGGTTGTTGATGTTGGGGATGTGGGTGTAGAAGGGTGGGGAGGGGAGGGTGGGGTTAGGGTTGTCTGGGGATGGCATGGTGGTGTGGTGGTGGCGTAGCGGTGATTTGGCAGTAATGTGGATATGTATGTAGCGAATTGCTGATGGTATTCTGATGTTTCCAAACTGGACTTCGTAGGGGTTATATGGAGGTCGACGGATTATTCGGTATAAACGGCAGGTATTGTGAACGGTTCCAGTCCAGGGATGTGAAGTGTGATATGTCAACGGCACAGCTGCTAATGCAAGGGGGAGCCTTCACAACACGTGTTCGGTTTGACTTTTGGTTGGTACCTAGGTAGTCAGACCAACGTTCGCGATATGTAAACATCAGCCCCACCATGCCACTCACACTAGCCATGTGCCGAGGTGTAGAGCGGGATGACTGCACATGCCCTGGTGGTAACCACGCCGCGTAATCAAGCATCGTCCGTACTTCACGCCCATAGCCCACATCTTCGTCGAACAGCTTCAAGAAAACAATCTAACTTCGATTTCTGGGGGTATACATATGATCATCAACCAAAAGACGGGACCACACATCTCACCAAGCCAAAATGGTGGTATATTCCCTCGAAACCTATACACCCGTTTCCACAAAAAGATGGAAAAGAAACGAAAAGAACCCAGGACTATATAGTCTATGACGCCACAGACGCCCGCGAGACTTTTCGTAACGCACTCGAAAATATCAAGAACTGTGTGGCCGTAGCCACAAAAGCCTACGAAGGCTTATCACAACCAATGCGACCGAGCAGCTCCTTGCGATCGCCATGACCGGGAATACTAATCCCACTAGCGCGCGAGCTTTCCCTCTTTGCTTGTCGGCGCTGGCTGGCGCCGTTAAGACGCGCAAAGGTAAGGGCATCGACGCCGACTTCCTCTTCCTTTGGCGTCATAGAGCTCATTCCGCTCTCGCCGCAGGTAGTCGCCATGTTGAAGATGGTCTTGGTCTGTTCCTGCTCGACCTCCTCGTCCTCGCCCTCGTCATCTGAGCGCAGATCCTCAGCTGCGTTGCCCATGAGCACTTTGTAGACGATCTTCGCAATGGTAGCGAACCAGATGCAGCAGAAGACTTGGAGGGTGAGGAGGAGCGCGAGGAAGTAGTACCGAATTTGCGGGTTCCAGCAAATGGGTCCGTTGCGGTCGTTGTACGCCTTGAGCAGGTTGCCCCAGTGGTTGTTACCGCCATATGCTTCGAATTGTGAGGTGTTGGATGCGGGGACGAATGAGGTGTACTTCGAGGTGGAGTCGGCGAGGTAGCAGCCAGGTGCCATGTCGACTGGGGCGTATGCGTAGATGGACCAGCAGACCATCATGTAGAGAACGTGACGGGTAACGACCCAGGCGATGACGAAGAGACCGAAAGCGTAGTCGCAGGCATTCGAGTAGCCCATGTACTTGAGGAGTTTCGCAGTCTGTGATTGTCAGTTCCCATATACTCATTTGGCGAAGTAAGGCTGCTTACCGGCAGGATGATGTCGACAAAGTCCATGATGGTCAGAATGACGATTCCGACGCGCATGTGGAAGTAGCCGTAGGACAAGCACATCAGCGCGGTGGTGAAGATGTGGTGGGTGAACATCTGCGCGTAGTCCTTGCGCTTCTCCTCAATATTGACGACAAGAAGCTGCTGGACCCAGAAGCCCCATTGGACGAGGTAGTACCACTTGAAAAGGCCGTCTGCCTCACGGAAAGGCCAGCCTTCCCATATGCCGTGCAAATCTAGCCAGAACTCGGAGTGGTACATGATGTACTGTAGCCTTGTTAGCACTGCCATTCCATATATTCCGTGTTGTGCGACATACCATTCCCAGGGACCACGACGCGGTGTAGTAGACAATCAACCAGGCCTGCTCCTTGAACCTGTCCAGGCCCTTCTTTGTCCTGATGCCACCCAGCCTTGCCAGCGGGTCGAGCAGGTACTCCATGACTGCGACGCGTACACCAGTGAAGATGACGGTCCACAGTAGGACAAAGGGCAGATCGTCGGTGCCACAGCCGTACATGTCGGTGTCGGGGTTGTAGTACGACATGTGGAAGAACTTGTTGGTCCGGCTGCGGGCGCGGGGGAAGAATGTGTGGGTGAGGACGAGGAGGGTGAGGAGGTTGACGGAGATGCCTGTAGGAGTCAGTATTCGCATGTTCGGTATTCTCGAGAGTCTGCGAGAGCGTACCAATCTGGTGGTCGCAGATGAGCGTGCACAGCGAGGCCATGAGCCCCTCATCCTCGACCTTCTTTGTCTGCATCTTCCGCCTCTTGGACGCAGTCGGTAGCTTTGGCGCTTGCATGTCCGCTGTGTGCGTCTTTCCCAGCGCGCCGTTGGCGTTGTGTGTCGTGGCCATGGTGGCTGGTTGCAATATGCCCCAATGTGGGGAGAGCGAGAGTGATGGAGCGACGCTGTCGCGATACCCGCTGTCTCGAGGCGGTCCGATAGAGGAGCCAATGGCAGAGGAATGAATTCCAGAGAGTGCTTGCAGCCCGGCGACGGTCTCCGGAGTCGGTTGCCGGCGTGTAGTGCGGCGTGTGGGCTCGATGGGTCGAGGTGATTGACGCTCAACAGTCACGTCTTAGCGAACGGATTGGGGTGCGTGTCTCAGCAACCAACAGCCATTGAGCAGCGAAACGGCAAAAAGAATGGGCGCTGACTGTCGTCGATGCGTAGGCGAGGTTTCGGCGGGGGAGAGCACGATGCGCCCGGGCAGAGTCGAGTCGAGGGAGCGGTGTGGTGGTCCCAAGCAAAGATATTCAGGGTTTAGAGATGGATGGGGCAAGCGCGGATCAACAATCTCCTGAGCGGGCCACGCGAATTGCACCTTTGCCTGCGTGCCAGCTGCGAGTCTGGGTGAAGGATGGCACAGGCGTGTCCAATTGCTCTCCCTGTATTTCTGGACAGGTGTCGCGGGAGCTAGCAGTATTCGCTGTAGCAAGAGCTGTGTCTGGAGCGCGCTACGAATCTGCCCACTTCAAAAATGGGGCCTCGCCTAACCCGACTGCAGCATGCGCCTAAGGGTGTAACGCGAACAAAGGCTGGCAGTGTTGCATCGCGCGAAAGGAGGTGGCAAGCCTGTATGAAAGCTCAATATCTTCCCCATCTGCCCCTAACACGGCCCTGCACCCGTTATCGTCGAGTTCCTGCGAGGGTCGGTTTGCCAAGACATCCGCCGACGAAGCTTGGTGCTCCGAAAATCAAGGGTCCGGGCGTTTCACTCTCCCGACCTATCAACGCGCCCACGCTCCCTGCAGCCCCATAGTGCTACCCCGCCATGGCCTGACTGATATGCATGCATAGCTATTGGATCAGAATGGCGCGTCGAACCCATCATGAGATGGAAGGCTCAAGAATTGTGTATAACATCTGATCGCTGAGTTGCTGTTCTTTACTTCATACGGAAGAGAAGTGTCAGAATGTTATTATACAACTAAACCTAAGTAACATGGAGTACGATAATCCATACCCAGCTCCTTGAACCATACGCTCCCAGCATAGTGATATCAATACCCATAACGCCGTACAATTTCACCCAAGTGAATCTAAGCTCCTGCCACAGGGGGGGGGGGCGGGGGGGGAAGTCTCTCTTCTTGTGTGGGCGCTCGTCTCGTGATGATCTGATTGCAATGGC